AGAAGGAGGGTAATCGGATGAAAAAATTTTTAACGAAGACGAGACGGGGTTATTTTGGAAAAGGATGCCTTACAAAACTTTTCTGGCCAAATCTGAGAGTTCCCAGTCAGGATATAAAGCTGCAAAGGATAGACGAACCCTTTTATTGGGCGGCAATACTAAAGGAAATTTGAAATTAAAGCCTATGTTGGTTTATCGAGTTCAGAATCCAAGAGCTCTTAAATGTATAAATCAAGAACAATTATCACTAATATGGAAATCTAATAAAAAAAGCATGGGTAACTAAAGCTTTGTTTGAAGAATAGTTCGTCAAGTATTTTTGTCCAACGGTTGAAGAATTTTGCCGAAGAAGAAATTTAGATTTTAAAGCTTTGCTTATTTTAGATAATGCCCCTGGTCATCCTTTTGATCTCGATTCAATGTGCAAAAATATCCAAGTGACATTTTTGCCCGCAAACACTACCTCTTTATTGCAACCAATGGACCAGGGCGTTATCGCGACCTTTAAAACATACTACATGAGAAAGAGTTTCAAGCAAGCGATTCAAGCAACATCTGGAGAGAATTCTATGACACTAGTTCAATTTTGGAAGAAATTCAGTATTAAGGATGCTATTGATAATATCCATCAAGCATAGAATGAAATTTCAGTTAAAAATATGCAAGGTGTTTGGAAGACAGTTCTTCCACACTGCGCACAGAATGTCACAGGCTTTTCAAAAGATACAGAAGAGGTCATTAAAGAGATTACTCATATTGGAAAAGAACCTGGCTTTGCTGAGATTGACGATGAAAATGTGCAAGAATTGCTAGAAGCTCATTCAGAAGAACTCACCAATAAGGATCTTATAAATTTGGACACTCATAGAGCATATGAAGACATTGATGAATGTGAAGAACTCTTACCTACCCGCCAGCATAAGAAGATGATGAAGAAGGAATTAGAACTTTTCACGGTTATTGAATAATTTAAGGGAAAAATGTGTAGAAACAGACCCTGAAGAAGATAGAAGCCGTCAAATTTACAGAAAAAGTGATGAGGCAATTTCTCAATACCACCAATTATATGAAGAACAGAAGAATACGATGCGACAAGCCATTCTAAGTTTTTCATAAAAAATCAGATCAATAAATTTTAATTCATTGCATTTTTTCGTATTTTCTTATATACCTATACTCTGATTAAAAAATACGCAAAATAGAAATTAATTGAGAATGAGAATGAAAATTGAGGTACGAATTACACGATTTCCTATAAGTTATTATATTCGATTAGTGCGGCTCTTTTAAAGAACACTAATCGAGGGATTCATGTATTCTGTTAGCTTGTAACAATTAAAATTAATGTAACAACATAAGTAGGTCGTTTGAAGCTTTCGAAAAAGAAGAGTCTCTCTGTGTGTGGTGTTTTTATAGCAAAGCCATATCGGGTTATCTGCTGTGTGTATTCATTTAAATTATATTCAAACGACCTTAAAGTACCATTCGCGTTTCCTATATTGTATATATAAGTTTTGTTAGACACAATAATTCGAAAATCCACTCACAGGGTAAATAACTGCGAAATAAACTATATAGGAAGATAAGTATTAATGGTAGAGGTTATTCAAGCTGATATTCATGTCTCATATCTTTTAGGAATTGTATTAATATGCATCGTAAACCCGAAATATGCAAGTCTTAGATACCGATCGAAAATAACAAAGGACATATGACTAGAAGGAAGGCAGCTAGACAACAGTACCCTCCGCCAACGTTTGGGATTTGTCTGAACGAATAGTGACGGCTTACCACAGCCCCAAAATGGGGAGCGTAATTTTGCGTCAACTTGAATTGAAGCCTGAATTTTCAGATTCACAGCTCTGGCACGCTAAAAATTGTCCACGCCCGGTCCTCATCAGTTTAAATAACATAGTTATTATTTTTTACAATACATATGAGTGACTGTTTAGAACAACTGGAATTAACGTTTACTTTATAGTTTTGAAGTTTCATACAGGATAACACAACGTTAAAAAAGGAACATTCCCTCAGCTTGAAAAACTTTAAACATTTCATCAACATTGTTTCATAAAAACCTTGGCTACCCGTATGGAAAGAAAAAGCTAGAAAATAATTTAGGAACTGTTAGTGGAAACAATGGTTTTTTCTTTGTTTGTTTGTTTCTATAGCTCCAGTAAACCAAACTTATCTCTTTGAGCTGCTACTAGCGAAGCTGACAAACTAATAATTGTTTTTCATATGTCATGCAGGTAAGTAGCTGACTGACAACCCCATCACTTACCAAGCTTGCTTCGCTTCAAATCTGGCGAGTAGTGTATGTATAAAAACCAGTTCATATTTAATTTCATTGATAGGAGAAATATGAACTATTTTGTCGAATGAATTGAATATTAATTGTTAAGATAAAATCTAAGCTTTAGAAGCAAGAACTAATACAAGTTGGGTTTCCGTTAAAATCACCCAAGTTCAAGTAAACGTTACTTTCTCAACATATAAACGTTGATAACTAATAATGAGACGAGAAGCGTTATCATAAGGCCATGGCTATAAAAACATTGACTTTCAGGAGTATTAAGCGGATAAATATTTTGATCTGATGTTTTTGGTAGCTAGAGTTCGGAATCACCTCATGTTTTTTATAACTATTCGTAATATACATAAATATATATAGTCTGTTTGCAATGAAGACGACAAACAGCTCCAGATAAATGTTTTTTTATATTCTACCCGGCGTTTCGGCTTACGTATTTTTCAAAACTTACTTTAAGTTTTTGTAACCTGTAAAGTTCATAGGTCCTTGATGAAACGTCAGGCAGAATAATAATAACATTTAACTGAAGTTTTTTGTCGTCTTCATTGCAAATGGTTTCTATTCCTCAGTCAGCTAAAAACTTTAAAAATATATATTTAGTCTATATTTATTTTACACTTTATAATTTATTACTACTTTATGGTGTTAAATGTGTATTAAGGTGCTACAAAAATAATATGTTTTTTTTTATTTCAGAATTTTCTTAATGAGAGAAACATAATGCTAACACAAAACATAGCAAATAGCTATGGTCGATATCATGTGTTCCACAACAGCTTGATCAAGATTATTCTTGATCAAGATTTTGAATCACTATAGCTGATTCTTAAGTTATATTAGTTTAAACCCACATGTTCAACAAAACACTATGTATTAAAGCTAAAAATGTCTGTTAAAAACATGTCATGAACACAGCATGGAGTATTCGCATGTTTAAACACAGTGGTTTTTATGTTTCTTGAACACAAGAAGAATCACTCGTGCGTTCAATAACACAATGTATCATAATTACATGTTTAAACATGAAATTTTATTGTATGTATTTAAAATACATACGACAACAATTATTATCGAACCGACTCTATCAGACTATTATTAACATTGTTATTATGAGAGATTAATTATTATTAAACTGACTCGGAGAGCCTACTAGATTAAAAATTATTTCTTAACAGTCATAATAATTAGTTAATTATTTTCAATACGAAAGGTCAATCAACCATGGCTTAGCTTTTAATCACCATGCAGCTAATCCTTAAATCAACTAAAAGTTTATTAGTGAACATTTCGAACTAAAAGAGCTAACCTTTGTTAAGTTTAAGGATATACACTGCTATTCGAGGCTTGTAGAATGTAGAATCCAGGCCTAAGAACTGGCTTCTTGAGAGTGATTACTTTTGGATGTTTTTGGTAAATATCTTTTAGGCGTAGTAAGGAAATCATTTTCTTCAACTTCTAATTTCCTTCTCTTTTTTTGAGATGGTGAAAGTTAGAGCTTTTCTACTTCTAAGAAGAGCTCAAAGACCTGTTCAAAACAGGAAGTTTAAATCTAATGGTGATTGAAACTGAAGCTACAGGAGACATACCACGCCGCAGGGAAAAGCTAACTGCTTCACTATGATAGCGTGTGGATGATTCGAATGATTAACATCACTAACTCGAGGCAATGGTTTTATGGCCCAGATTTTAGGGGAAATGAAAAAGGGAGGAGTCATTCGTTAAGTTTCCTATAAAAACCCTAGGTGTTTGTGAAGGATATTGGATCATTTCACATTTGAGTAAGTGAGCTCTGAACATTTCAGGAAGCACTATGAACAAGGTAAGCCAGTAGTTCTGTTTTAGAGCCGTGTTGACAAGCATTCTATGTGTGTTCAGTTATCAACAAACACAATAATATTCTATCCATTGGAAACATCTTCCCAGACCAGTAGGCGGTGTAGTAGAACTTGCTAAATAATAAGGAAATTGATGCCTTACCGAAATGAGTTTTGTTACTTGAAATCAAACTACTTCCACAACTAACTAAAGTTAAGTATGGATTTATTGCTCTCTGAAACAGAAGTCGTAATTGACACTGATGCAATCTCTGCCTCTCAGAAAAAAAAGAAGAAAATTTCATATAACAAATGATATTTTTATATATGAACTGTGAAAAAAATTATGTTTTTGTGTATTGAAAATCTAAAGTCTTGTCTTTGTAGGTTGTTATCTGTTGTCTTGTTGTAGCATCTGTCACCGCTCAGTATGACAATAAGTATGGCTATGCACCTAGAAAAGTTGTGAAGGTCGTAGCTCCACCTACCTATGGATCACCTTCTCATAAAGCCGACCCAGTTGTAAGTCATGAACATATGTACATAGATTTATATAAAACCACAACTTTCTCTTATACTGTTTCTGTTGTTGGTTACCTAGTAAGAAAAACTATAAAATGTTTTAACTTGAGATAATAAAACTCATGCAAAGTGATTTTCACACAGACACACATAAATCATTTCATAAATCAAACCGATAAGTAAAATCAGGAAGGAAATTAAAATCTAACAAGAACCTTAAAAATAATGCTTTTGTATCAACTTTACACAAATGAGTATGTTTCATTTTAGACCAAAAAATGCAGGTGTAAACTTTGATGTAATAGTTACCAATAATTTGTGTATTGAAACACAATGATGTTAAATACTATTTGACGTGTATATACTTGTATATCAAACGTGTGACACAAGTGAAGCAAGAATTAATAGTTTCATTTGTTTTATAGGCAAAACCCCAGCCTTACAAGTTTGGCTATGAAATCAAGACTGAATACGGGGATCGTCAGTGGCAGCAAGAACAAGGTGACGGGTACGGCAATAAGCAAGGATCTTATGGTTATTCAAACGCTTTAGGTATCAGTCGCCAGGTGGACTACGTTGCTGATGAGGGTGGATTTCGAGCCAACATTAAGACCAACGAGCCTGGTACGGCCAATCAGAACCCTGCAGATGTCAACATCAAATCAGATGCTACCCCAGTGAAACATGATGCTCCCCCTAAAGGTTCTGCGCTACCAGCTCATGGTTACTCGGTTCCTGCCCCTAAGGTCGTCAAAGTTGTTCATCCTGTAGTCCACGCCGCTCCTGTTCCCATCTATGGATATGCTCATCATGGTCCTAAAATCGTCAAGGCAGTTCATCCTGTAGTCCACGCCGCTCCTGTTCCCACCTATGGATACACTCATCATGTTCCTAAAATCGTCAAGGCAGTTCATCCTGTAGTCCACGCCGCTCCTGGATATGCTCATCATGGTCCTAGAATCGTCAAGGCTGTTCATCCTGTAGCCTACAATTTTCCCGTTCCACCTTATGGCTACGCTCGTCCTCCTGCCTACGGCTACGCTGGTCCTTTCCCCCATGACTATGCTCGTCCTGCTGTGTATGTAAAACGAGTAAAGACCACATATTAAATTAATCTACGTGCGACATCTTTAACATTTAACCAAAAAGAAAGTTTGGAGTAGATCGAATGCCTATTAGAGAAGGTGCTTTTTTACTGCATAATGCCTAGCTATAAGTTGTAATGTTACAAATGAAAACATTTGGTGATGCTAATCACATTCAAACATAGCTTTTTATTTCCTCCTTTCATTATTGTCGCGTATTTGTATTTAACAACATTTCTCTCTCACTGTTGTGAGTATTATGTATCATTGACAATATGTACATTTTGTTATAAATCATGAGGACAAATTTGTGTCTGTGTGTTATTTTTAAATGTTCCCCGATGGGACAGCGGTAAGTCTACGAACTTACACCGCTAACATCCGGCGTTCGATTCCCCGCGGTGGACACAGCAGATAGCCTAATGTATGAAAAAAATAAATAGAAGGGAGTTAATGCTTTAAGTGAAATTTGCAGCCAATGATGTACATTTGTAAGCACAGTTAACATGCTGAATAATTGGTAAAATATAACATTTCCATTTTTTTATTAAACTGGAAAAAATATTTCACTTATTTCAAGGTTAATGCTTTATGAATTTTTGGCATAAATTTTCTAATTATTGTTTGTTTTAGAGCAAACCAACAGCACCCTATTTGACCACATTGACCTAAAACTGTTGTCTCTCTCTCCTTTTTAATTACTGCAATTTTACTACACCTGTATTGACTTCCAGCAAACGTCAAGATTACTTTTGGTAACATGTGTGTCAAGGAGCATGTGTTATGTTGTTTTTGAAGATCATCCATACAATTGTGCACCTACTTCAACAGACATTTTAGGTTTAATTGTTCTGTTCAAACAGGAATGAATGGCAACTTCGGAGATATATTTTATATATTACTCCAAATTTTGTATTTCATGAGGAGTAACTGTACTTTCCCACAATTTTTTGCAGATGTTGAATAGTTGTTTTATATGTGAGGTGTTATGACCCTGAGTACCCGTATCTGCTCCTAAATTTGCAATGTTTTTGAACTCTAATTTTGTTTCAGATGCGAGGCATGTAGATAAAGATTAAGTTAGGAAACATAACACCCCATTCATGTAGAATTCTACTTTCATAAGTACCACTCTTAAGAATACATTTTACATTTCCAACTGTGTAGCTTATGTTACACTTGTCTATCCTTTATATGTGACATTTTTTATTTTAGCCTAGTTGTTCGAAATGATGTTCTATAAGCACGTGCATAAGCACTTCAGGGTTTGAGTATCTTAAAACATTGTAACCCTTAATATTTCAATTATATATCTAATTTTGGGTTTGAGAGTCAAGAACACACACACCTGCGTGCTACTTTGAAAAACACACCTCACTACACACAATACAAGACCGCATATCTAAACTTGCCATCAAATACTACAAAAAAGCCACCCACCGGAATTCACTTACAGCCGAATTTCATAAAATTGCCGCTACCCCCAAACCATGGTGCAAATATCTATCCCCATACAACATGATACACAACAGCACTAACACACCACCATGATCTATAAAACTTCTAATGGTATATTATATTCTATGCATAACTATTTCACTGTTCAGTCTCTTTCCATATCTTCATCCCAACAATAGCTCTTCAGTCGGGCACTAGTCGGGCTTTTCTTTCGGTCCCGGCTAGTGAAAGTGGGTTTTCTCGGGTATTCCCGTTTCCCCCCACATCAAATTCTTAGACATTGGATCTATAGATCCCAGTCTTGGCACTTGGATCCACTGATCCCCGCTAGGCCCTGTAAAGGCCCGTTTGCTTCGTTTTGTTTCGATAACTTGTCAACAACGGCTGCCGACTTGCTCCTTCTACAAGATCAACCGGCCTCTGCTACGCCTTGGACTTGCCTTCACTTCCGCCTACTTGTCTCCTCATCTTATATATGTATATATATATATACATATATATTTTTTTTCTCGTTCCCTTTACTTATTTACTTATTATTATTATCAATTTTCCAATTAATTATTTATTTTCCTACTTCTTCGCCTATATGGCTCATTAAATCGCTGACCACTTATTGAACTTTAATCTCTTACCTCGAGCAGGATGAAGGAGGATTGCTAATCTTCGCGCACCCTTGATTATTAATTTTTCCCCTGACATAATTAAGTTTAAGTCAAAATAACTGCCAGAAATATGCGATATGCGAGTCAAGAATACATTGTCATCTTTATTGCTATAACTACATTTGTTATAAGGCTGTAAATGTATATACAGTATATACATCTATAGTTTTATATATAAATGTATAATATTGTTTTCTTGGTAGGGTGAGAGGATCTACCAATCTATTAAAAATTGTTTTTCTCTGAATATACAATAACTTTACAGACTTTTGGGATTTAGCTTTCCATGATTTGTTCAGGTGCTACAAACATAGTTAAAGTTTTAACAATGCTAAGTTTGTGTAACTGTTTCAATAATCCATACGGCTTTACATATGCTAGTCAAAACTGTATTCGAAAAAAACACTTAAGAGTTTTTGTAGCTTTGAATATCTATATAAAGGGTTCTGTTTTCTTTTGAGTGAAACTTGCGGTTTTAATAAAAATTCACATAACAACTGGTTTGTGTTAATTTGAAGTTGGAGTTTGCGAATTATTAAAGTGTCTTACACCGTAATGATTTTAAATTGAAATACTAGCTTGAAATCGGTTCTATACGGTTCGACGTCATATTGGCTATAAGGATATTGATAATTATGCGATGAGGTATCCACAGATAGTTTAAAATATCTTTTTATAAGCAGAGGTAAATAGGAACTGTAGATGTTACATAGTGACGCCGATAGAAAGAACAAATGAAATAATGAACACCATTCGAAATGAGAGCATTCTATTCTCGAACTGTTTATTTACTTCAGTATTTCGCGCAAAATTACACAAGGGCTATCTGTCTATAGTAGTCCTTAATCTTGAACCGATTTATTTGCTCGTCTGCTGAATTTCGCGCAAAGCTACTCAAGGGCTATTTACATTTTCGTTCCTAATTTAAAAGTAACAAACTAAAGGGACTGCAGCTAGTCAAAAACCACTAACCGCCAACTATTGTGCTACTCTTTTGCCAACAAAAATTGGGACTGACCATCATATATAATCTCCTAATGACTGAAAGGGTGAGTATATTCGGTGATTGGATTCGAACCTGAGACCTGCAGGCCTTTAGAACTGATAAACCAGAGGAAAGGCAGATAGCCAACAACACTTACCACCACCAAGTGTTGGGCCACTCTTGTCTGATCGATCTTATAGCGCACCAAAGTGTCCAAAGTACGAAAGACGTTTTATCGAGAAAAAGTCACGAACCCTGAGTCCTCGGATTTACGGTCCAGGCGCGCAAACCATTAGGCAAAGAAACCCAACCTTACTTGAACTGTAATGATAATACCAAAACAAGCTTAATTAAAAACAAAACATACTTTCGCAAACACCACCTGTAAAATTTTCTTAAGCTTCTCTATTGATTGAAGTCTGCAAATGATGAAATAATTTTTTTATAAATATCGTGTAATTTTAAACTGAATAATATATAGTTTGTCCAAATAACCGTTTACAATAGTAATACAATGTCTACTATTCGTTATCAGTGCACGTAAATTTCACATGAAATCTTCAAAGAATAGTTCATCATTCACTTCAAAATACGCACATTAACAATCAACGTGACATCAAGACCAACCAAAACCGATTTCAAGATTATATGTAACTAGACCACCGTGACCCGTTGAGTCAACCACTATTCAGAGGTTATGAAGAATTCAAGCTAATTTCAATATTGCACCGAAATGAAGGTTTATTTTGAGATAATTTAATTAAATATTTCAATCTATTCGTGTTATTAATAATTCAAGAAAAGATATTTGATTGTTTTCATCTTACGCATTTTAATGAAGATGGGAACATTGACAGGGAAGTAATATAATACCCAATGCTCGGCGAGAGGTTTTCGTTTATAAAATTTTGTTGTTGTTCTCGACTTGATTTTTATTTTATTACCTCGTCTCCATAGTTACTATTTGTAAATAGTCAATAGGTCCATTATATTGTTGTTCTTTCGACACATTTTCATCATTTAATTTCTGTTGTGCAGATATTGTTGTATAAACGAAGTCGGTCTGTAGTATGTTTCAGCAGCTTTATGATAAAAGTACCGCATCTTGAAAATGTGATTTGCTTCACGTTTTTATGGTACGAAATAGTAACATTGCATTATCAAACTAAAAAACCATGATTCACATTAATTTATTAAAATGTAAGAGAATCGTATAGCCGTAACTTTTTAGAATGACAGTTCATTGTGAGAAAACAAAAAGACACTTAAATGGTTCCTGATCTCATGATTTCAGAGTGTGAGTATTTATTCCGGGAGACCATGTAAGAAATATACACATATATATATATATATAAACCGTAACTCATATTGTCGTTTTGGATTCCATTGACTTTCCATAGTACGATGGACGTGGTATATAAAAGTTATTAATGATTATATATATATATATATATGTCTGATCAGTGACTTACAGGAATTTGCCTAATTTTTACAAATGGTCATAATAAAACAATACGAATCTTGCTAAATTTGGGGCAGTATTTTATGAACACAAGCTTCGATTCAGTTTGAAAGAGTTTCTTAAGACCGGATAAACCGTGGTTTCCATATTTTTGGGTCAGCCGCGGCGCATTGGTTAGAGCGCCCACACTTCAAACCAAGAATTTTTGGTTAGCGTTCCTTTACCACAAAAAACAACAACAACAGACAAAAAAAAAGCAATCCTTACTTTGGGGGCGTGCGTCGGTGCGCTATAAGGGTGATGGTAAAATTACACAATCTAGTCAGACAGTAATAGTCTAAGAGTGAACATTGGAGGCTGCTGACCACCTGCCTCCCCTCTAGTTCTATCAGTTCAAAATTAGGGACAGCTATATGCATATAGTACTTGTGTAACTCTCACGAAAATTTAAACAAGTAACATCTTCGCCTGTACATTTTGATAATCTCGTTAAACAATCGTATATAATATTCAATGGCACATTGATGATAATTAGCACATTAATTTACTAACAATATGAACGAAGGTGTTATTTCCAATAAGATAAAATAAATATTAATCAAATTATAAATAGACCATGCAACTATGGATTAAAGTTGGCAGAAACTACATCTCTACCGCCTAATCTTAAAAATATTTGCTTTAAGAAACGGAATAGGGTAAGAAAGCCCTATGTATTTCAAAGTCCATTATTAACCTAATTTATTTCTTAAGTTTAAATTTACAGATTGAAATAATTTGTTTTATATAGACATTCTGTTTCAAACTGTAAGAATGTTATAATCTGAAGATGCTATTTAACAACCTGAAGGCAAATAAGGATAATTTGAAAATAAAAAAAATTAGCATGAAATAGTTGAAAAAATGGTTCGAAAGACAGACAACCCTATGTTATGTAAACTATCATTTTGTGCATTGCTCATATCTGCACTTGCTTCTCATCAACTGTGTTTTTGAGCATTGAGAACTGTTTGTTTGTAGTTAAGCACAAAGCTATACAATGGCCTATCTGTACTCTGCCCACCACGGGTATCGAAACCCGATTTATAGCGTTGTAAGTCCGCAGACATACCGCTGTGCCACTGGGTGGCGAGAATTGTAGTTAACCACTGACAAAATATCTTTCTTCTGACACATTTGTACAACCTAGTGGTTAGGGCACTCGACTCGAAATCTGTGGGTCGTCGGTTCGAATTCCCGTCCCACCGAACATGCTCGCTCTTTCAGCCATGGGGGCGTTCTAATGTAACGGTCAATCTCATTATTCATTGGTAAAAGAGTAGTCCAAAAGTTGACTAGCTGCCTTCTCTCTAGTTTATCATTTCAAAATTAGGCACTGCTAGCGCAGATAGCCCTCGAATAGGTAGGTTTACGTGAAATTCGAGAAACAAATAAACAAAAGCATTTGTACACGACTCCCTATTTAAGAATGCAATTTGTTATTTCTAACACGTATTTGTTGTGACAGATCATCGTACGATAAAGAAAAGCACAGTAAAGCGCCCTCGTCGAATCGCTTGAAGGCAAGGCGAGACCAAACAATGTATATCACTGTCGACGTATTAGGAATGTGAGATAAATTATGTTAAGTAACATTAGAATATCGTTTAAACAAATACATGTAACCCAAATTCACGGACACCAGGAAGAAAAGATAACGCCTGTAAAAAAGGTATAAAAATGATTGAACCAGCGTTTTTCCAACAGATCACACAACTAGAGCCAACTTTCAACTGCTGTAGAGCTTTCCCTGATAACCATGATGAAGGTAAGAATATGCACGTATAGAATACCGACCTGCCTTTAGATATTTAGTTAATCTCAGCTTCCACACATGCTTTTTCTCAACATTGGAATCTGTAACTAAACTGTTATAAGTACAGTTAATTCAAACAGTCAGTTGGCTAATGCGGTAAGGATATTTATCCTTTTACACATGACCTATAAATTCTTCATTCTCATTATATACTTCGACATATTATTTTTACCTTAAGTATTCGTTGACGCTAGTTTATTTATATAAGAGCAAAGCTACACAATGGGCCATCTGCACTATGCCTATTTCAGGGATTCAACCCTAATTTTTAGCATTATAAGTTATCAAACTTACCTCCGAGCCACTGGGGGCAAGCACCAGTTAACCTAAAACAGAGAAAATATAATAAGAAAATGGAAGATAATTTTTGCACAACAACAAAATAGGTTACTTCGTTTCATTTTTACTTGTTTGTTCTTATTTTTACAGTAATATAAACATATTTACTGTAACTATGTAAACAAAAAATTTGTATCGCTTCACTTTTCAGATTGTAATTCTCGCTTTGTCAGTGATGTCTGTCACTTGTGTGCAGTACCCCTCACAATATTCTTACCACCCACACGATAGATACGCCTATCAAGTAGACGCATATGTAAGTAAAAGTTTATAAAATATTCATTTTAATAAACGTAATTAATAGTAACACATTAACTTGTGCTTTTTATTAATTTAGTTTGTTTCACTAGTTCTGTTGAATGTAAAAATACGATATATGAAAACCTTTAATACAAGTTAGATAAATAGACAGATGACAGGGAGTTGATTTTATACATATTCTACCACTTGAAGAAGTTATAGTACAGATTATCTAAATAGCAAGGAGTTAGTTTGACTCAGACTCTACCACTTGTGGTACAGGCTAACTAGACAGCAGGGCGTTGATTTGACTCAGACTCTACCACTTGCGGTACACGCTATCTAGATAGCAGAGGTTGGTTTCACATAGACTGTCACAATTGTAATACAGACTAACTAGATGGCAGGGAGTTGGTACCACTTGTAGTAAAGGCTAACTAGATAGTAGAGTTTTGGTTTCACATTTTCACACTTACAGTTCATGTTAATTAGACAGTGATGAGTTGATTTCTTAAAGTTGCTTTTGTAATTAAGAGTGAATTACTTCGTAGTGAAAATATTTGTTGTTAAATGATAATTTATAGTTTATTAAGTCATGATTTGTGTTTGTCAACGTCTTAAGTGTGAGAACAAAATCTGTCTATTTATGTGTGAAAGTTAGATCTTTAGTTTGCCATTCTATATCATCCTATATATATGTGTGTATGTGAATCAAACTTGCTTTCGTTTTCAGGCCAAACCACAACCATACAATTTCGGTTATGACATCCACAACGAGTATGGGGACCGCCAGTGGCAACAGGAGCAAGGTGACGGGTACGGCAACAAGCAGGGATCTTATGGTTACGCAGACGCTTACGGTATCAGCCGCCAGGTGGACTACGTTGCTGATGAGGGTGGATTCCGCGCCAACGTGAAGACCAACGAGCCTGGTACCGCTAATCAGAATCCTGCTGACGTGAGCATTTATTCTGATGCTGTCCCCGTGAAATATGACGCTCATCCTTACGGCTACGCTCGTCCTTATGGCTACGCTCATCCTGTTACCTATGGCTACGCTCATCCTCATCCTGCCCATGACTACGTTCGTCGGGCCGTCCATTAACCGAATTAAGCGCAACTCTAACTTATCTGGACGTTCCAAGTTATTGTTTGTCATATTACGTTCATGACGAGTGGTGTTAAGCTTAACAAAAAAAGACAGGGTTCCTAATTTTGTGCTTAGGTGCTGTTGAGTAACAAAGGTTGTTTTATTTGCAGACAGTATAGTAAGCAACATTTAACTTAACGCTTATTGTAAAACGTGTCAGGTTGTAGAACTATAAGTATTTTCCTGTCTGTGACTGCTACGTGTTTGTTCTTTTTGAATTAGTAAGATGAGAATAAAGTTTATAATTTTTTCCACTAAACTAATCGTTCCTTTCACTAGTTCGAACTAGTAACTATAAATACCTCATTTAAATTGTACCTTCTGTTATAAAAGAAAATGTTAATTTATCATATTTAGTTGTCGTAAAAAGTAAAGATAAATAAATGAATTACTAAAGCATTCATTAATTGGTCCGAGCATGGTCATGTAGTTAACTTCTTAGGTTGCGAATCAAAGAGTCCAAAGTTCGAGAGATAATACAGCTGAATACTCTGTGGAGACGGTTCATACTTTTATTAGGTTCAGAGAGCTAAGCAAAGTCTTTGTGGCGGCGGGTAATGCTGGCTGGCTATCTTCCTTCTGGTCAGTAGTTCAGAGTTAGGGACGGCTATGCCTGAACTCTAGAGGGTTTCTGACTTTAGTGTTTAGTCCACTTGTTTAAAAGGTGCTGTTTAAGTTGAAACTCCCAACCCATCAAAAGGTGCTGTTTAAGTTGAAACTCCAACCCATCATAAGGTGCTGTTTAAGTTGAAACTCCCAACCCAATTGACTAAAAAAAAATTGAGTTAGAGAATACATACCGATTTTTCACTGATTTATTTGTTTAGGTAATGCACAAAGCTCCACAATGGGCTATCTGTGCTCTGCCCACCACGAGTATCGAAACCCGGTTTCTAGCATTGTACGTCTGCAGACATACCGCTGTGCCATTGGGGGACTTTTCAATGATACACAATTTTCAAAAATGTCAGTGAAAAGTAAAACCTTCGACATGTCAAAATCCACATGGCCTCTTACATGGATTGATAACTCAACAATAATTAGTACCATCTTTAATAAACATATTAAAAGAGAGAGTCTGCATCTATAAAGATCGATTCAAAACAAAATTTTCATTTGATAAATATTATCGATGGGAATTTGAAACTCATTACATGTTAACTTTACTAAAAGCTATGTCTCTTGCAAGCTAATGTTCAGATGTTTACCCTATAAAACATATTCATCAATATACGCTTAGTAAATATTTTTTTTCAAACAATATAGAACCTAATTGTTATTATACTTTATACCAATAGAACATTTTGAAAACAGCTAACAATATCGTTCAGGACCAAAGCTTCCATAATTATTAATACCCTATACGACATTATATACTTAGCATTTAGAAAATAATCTTTAATATATGTCTTCCCAAAATATTTCATAAATACATAGCTGTAAATATCATGTACGACAATAATGCCCACAACACTAAGAAAATATAATCATTACTATTATTTTCCATCAGTTAATTAGAGTTATTAATGACGTGTGTGTGACTTCTCACAATAAAGCTCTCCTGTAAGTCAGCGGTAATTCTGAGGGCTTATAACGCTAAAAATCGGGTTTCAATATCAGCAATGGGTACAGCTCAAATCTCCCATTGTGTAGATTTTTGCTTAACAACAACAACAATTTAAACAACTAACGAATACTGCTCTCATGAAGATTTGGCTTTATTAAAATGTTTAAAAATGACATTAAAAACTAGATTATCTATCTAGTTTGTAAAACTGAAAATCATGTTTAATTTTTATGAGAAAATGTACTCGCGGCATTAGAATTATTGTTTCTTATTGTGAAGAAGCAGAGTAGAACTGTTTAAGACATTTTATCGTATATCTTTTTGTTTGAGTTTATTGGAAAACACATTCTGAGTTAAACAATACAATGTATTTTAATACTTTTGATTTTTGAATTTGTTTGTTTGTAGTTATGCGCAAAGCTACACAATTGGCTATCTGTGCTCTATTAACCACGTGTATCGAAACCCAGTTTCTAGCGTTGTAAGTCCGCAGACATACCGCTGTGCCACTGGGGGTATGATTTTTGGAAAGTGCTTTATCCTGTAATTTTACTCTATAAATTTATCATTATTCTTTGACTCACCTGTTGCATATGGCTGATTGAACATCTAGTGGCGTAATAATTCATTTTGTATCACTGTCACCTACTGCAATTATCAAGCTATTGTACGCAATGGCTATTATCCTATGTCTTCTCTGAGCGTTATCTTGTTAATTGTAGAAAACAATGAACTATGATGTTTTAACACAGGGCTTCATAAGGTTTTATATCTTACTGTTTTAACCGTGGCTTGACCGATTTGAAATATAATTACAGTTTTCGACTTAGGGGTCAAAACCTTTCGACTGATGTATTTGACCACGCCCAAGTTTAATTTAGATTAATTTAGTCTAATCCTACCTAAAATAATTTCAATTTGAGGGTAGACTTATAAAGATCCTGGTGAGTAATAAAATTGAATCGGGTATATGAACGCCCCACGCTTTGTATTGCTGGCGCACAAAAATACAGCTAATAAAAAGAAGAAAAAAAGGCCTCATAGATTAATTTACTCTAATCCTGCCAAAAAGAATTTCAAGTGCCGCGGCTATTAAGGATTCCCTCTTGTTTCTTCTTCTATCTCTAATAAACACGGAATCAATAATATATTTGGAGAGTATTGAAAAGAGAAATACACAAACGTCTAATTTGCTGCTGTAAAAAAAAAAAGGTTTTCTTTAATTTTTTCCTTTGAGAGTGGTTTGACAAGTGCTAGAGTTTATAGAGGTATTTTCTAAAACTATTTTTCAGAAGCAGTTTCCTACCCCTATGATCGCTCAAACTGAAATCTCCCCAATAATAATTGGTGTTAGTTACAATTACATTGAATTGATCTTATTCTAACAAGAACGAGGTGCATATGGTAAAGTAGTAGCTGCAGATGTTAGCAGTGGTGACATGTTTGTCACCCAAATGTCTTTGGTTCGTGGTAATTTTCAACTTTTTGAAAGTGGAATGTCGACACACAAAAAATTGCTATGGCTGGAAAAAAAATGTATCGTTGCTATTCTAAATAGTGTACAGTAAAAAAGAACAATATCTTAAAGAAAAGAGACTTCAATGTTCTCTATGGAAAAGGTAAAGCTTTTACAGTAGACGCTTAGTTAGTAAAGGAGTTTCTGAAACCATAAAGCAAACCAATTCGGAGCAATGCCCTTTTCCTCAATGACGGATTTATGGTTGTAAAAGAAAACCTTCCAATCCAAGATTTTATTGCGACGAAGTTAAAAGTATCTCATGACACCATTAACAAGATAACAAATAATGATTTGAAGTTAATGAAGTCTCAAAAGCCAAAGGTTCACTAGTTTCCAGCCATATATCGAAATCAACAGATGTTTTTTATAAGAAAGATATCCGAAAAAAACTGGACTTACAGTAATACCATTCCACCACATACCTGTCAACTTCCCATACCTTCTCGATGTAACTCCAGAGAAGTGTTATGATCCTGGTCTGCTTAACATGGTCTTGGAAGCTGGCATTCGCGCACTGAGCACGTGGAGAGTCTGTGGAAAATTTCACAATACGCGTATGTTGGTGATACGATTGACCTCGCTATTCTTCGCAAATTCTTGTTATAAGAGAGATTGCGATGTTGGGCAATAGTATGAAATCATGGCTAGCAGACGGAACACAATTATTGATGATAGAGAAAGTAGTTCTAAAGGTGCCCCTGGCTTAGAACATCAATCATATAAAGTGTGATTAATGTGATTAAAGTGTGAATACTATAAATACACTCATTTTTTGCTACCTATACGTTTCATCGTGCTTCATGGCTGTCTCATATAATCATTGCCCTCCCTCAGTGGCTCAGTGGTAAGCTTAAGGGCTTATAAACTTAAATTCGGGGTTCCATTCCCTCGGTGGAAAGAGCGCATATATCTGATTCTATAATTTTGAACTAAAATGCAACAGCCAAACAATTCAACAAACGTTATTACCTCCCCCACCGAAACTTGACGGAGGTTGTGTTTCACCCCTATGTGTGTTTTTGTTTGTATGTTTGTCATCAAGATTTCTCGAAAATGGCTGAATGGATTAGGGTGAAATTTGGTATAAATTTGGACTATGACCCAATTTAAAAGTGATTAGTTTTTGAATGGTCGAGGTCATGAAAATCCAAAAAATCCATATTTGTTAACATGTGGACCGATTTTTCACACTATTTTTGCTCTGTAACTCAATCAAAAATGATCGGATTTTGATGAAACTTGGTGGACTTATGTAGAATGTCATTCCTCATTGTCCTGCAAAAAAATGGTTCGTGTACTTTAATAACGACGGACATATCGACACGTTTTTGTATTTTTTTAGGGCTGAATATGATCAACGCTGCATGGCGGAGGTATATGCTACACAAAGTGTTCTCTAATTCACTCTTTGTCTTTCATATTTCTTCTATTTACACCATTTGCAACTGAAGTTTAAACATTTACTATTATTTTCAAAATTGGTTGAGCAGTGCAAAAGTTTTCTTCTTATTATTTTTTGTTTGTTTTCGAGGAAAAAATATAATGCCTTTTTTGAGTAGGCATAAAAATCTCATGTAAGGTGAAGTGTAATATTATTGCAATTTTTGCTTGTATATATTGTTGCTTACTCGTTGTAATTATGCGTTTAGAATTCAACTAACAGATGGCACTGTTAGGTAACGCATGAACAACGAAAACATTAGTTTAACTAGCGGGGCACTCAGTAGAGAGCATACCTCTGCCACGCATCATTGATCATATTCGGCTCTCAAAAAGAAATAGGAAAATGTGTCCGAATATCCGTCGTTATCAACGGATACAGTCCAGTTTTGGCAGGGCGATGAAAAATAATGTGTCCACCAATTTTCA